GTCTGAGCACCTCATGCATGCCTGGTGCCAGCAGAGGCCAGAAGAGGAGGTCGGAGTCCGTGGAGCTGGAGCTCCAGACAGCTGTAACACTTTATGAGGGCGCTGAGTCAAGCTAAGTCCTCTGGAAGAGAAGCCAGTCCTCTTCACGGCTGAGTCACCTCTCCAACCCCTTGATAGCAGTTCTAAAAACATTACTCAGGCTAGAGAGATGCTAGGTGGTTACGGACACTTGCTGCTCTTGCAGAGAACCCAGTTTCAGTTCCTGGCACCCACATGGTGGCTACAACCATCTGTAACTCCAGTTCCCGAGGATCCTGTGCACCAGGCACACACATGGAGTACATACAGATAGGCAGGCAAAACACGTATACACTTAAAAAGTGAAACAAATTAATCCAAAAAAAAATTTACTAGGGCTGGAGAGATGGCTCAGGGGTTAAGAGCACTGACTATTCTCCCAGAGGATCCTGGTTCAATTCCTAGCACCCACATGGCAGCTCCCAGCTGTCTGGAACACCTGTTCCAGGTGATCCAATGCCCTCTTTCGAGGCACCAGTCACATCTGTGGTACACAACCATACATGCGAGAAAAACACTAATAACACATAAAATAAATATATCTAAAAAGTATGTTTAAAATTACTCAGAGAAATGCTTAGTGGACAGTAACTGAAATGTCATGAAAACCAAGAGTATAGAGGTTTCTATTACACCGGGGAGCTGAGGCCAAGTGGGAAACTTTCCTATACTGCAGAAACGGATACTGCAACACTTTTACTGGATATTGCCTTTGACAGTCCCAAGTTTGTTTTCCTATTCGGCATCAGAGAGAGGCTGACTCTGAGCTGCCTTGGGAAAGGCTGGCTGCTGGTAGAAAACAAGTCTGCTGACAAGAATGCTTTTAACATGGCCTAAGACAAGCATCACCAAAAGCAGGGACCGGCCCCCACTTAATTCAGAGATTAATGAGAAAGCATATGGGGAGTGTTCTGAGCTCCCTGGAAAAGTGACACCAGGCAAATTCGAAGACTTGGGTTACAGTATAAAGGGATAACAAGATAACACACCGCTTTCTTCTGGGTCTGTATTAAGACAGGTGTCTTAAGTTCCGGCAGAAGATTAGCATAAAACTCTTTCTTCCTCACCAGTCAGGTTCCTGCTTGTGCTTATAGCCCGTCGACGGTATGAAAGAGTCACTAAGCCCTGGAGAGGGAAAAGTACAAAGCTGCCTGCCAGAGCACACCGCACGGGAATGGCAAGGAACCAAAACCCTGGGCTCCCATTACCTTGCTCATGAGGACTGGGGCAAAGCAACTCAAGGTGCCGAGGAATAAACATTAACAAACAGGAGTTGCAGCTGGAAGGCCAATGAGAGCCGGCAGCAGACCCTCAGCCCACTGTTACCTTGTGCAGAGGACAGGAAGCAGCCTTTTCCTTGAATAAAAATGTGCTGGCCCACAGGTCCACTCTTCCCTCTGTGTCTTCTACACAGTTTTAACTTTTATTCCCTCTCACCATCTAAAAAGGTGTTCACAAGTGTTCAAAGTCCAGAACTGAACTGCCGCTGAGAGGAAAAGACTGTCGCGTTTAAGTTGGTAAATTTGGAAATGTCATTTACCAGAGGGCCTAAAGATATCATTTCAAGTGACAGGATTACGATTTAAGCTTAAGGATATCATTTCAAGCGCCAGAATGATCGAAACCTTTTCGATGAAAGCAGAATATGGTCAGTTTTTCGTTTGCTTTGATTTTTTGACACAGTCTCATCTTGTAACTTGCTGTGTTGACCAGGCTGACTTGGAATTCAGAGAACTGCCTGCCTCTGCCTCTCCTGTACTGGGACTAAGGGCTTGCACCAGCCACTACAGCTGGCGTATATGGACCGTTTTATAATCTGTACTGAGGAAGCACCAAAGGCAAGTAGTTCTCTAGCAAAATTGGTCCAAATGTTAATGTTACTAATTAATGAAGCATTAATCAGTAAGTCAAACACAACAGTGGGGCCACTGAGATACACTCATCTGACCGAGAGGAAGGAATCACTGTTTCCCAAAGGGGCATTTTACAAAAGAAAAGCTTTGGTAGAGAGCCAGTTTCTCCAGCTTCAGAAAGGGGGAAAGTGGCACCTCATCCAGACCAAGCCAAACATCTCAAGTCACCCGACTCACCCCATTTGCAGAATGAGATATGATAGGGTTGGAATTTTAGAACAGATTAGCTGATTCGGTTCAAAGACCTTAAACCCGCCGTCAGTGATTCAATAAAATCTCTCTCCCTCCCAAAGTCATGTAACTACCAAAGAAAGAAAGGAAAAGGGATAAAACGGATTCACTGAAACACTGCTTGTACAGGAAGGGTTAAATTCACACAACACACACACACACACACATATATTTCATCTTCCGAATCTGGGGAGCCACCGACCTCTGGTCCTACCATGCAGGCAGAGTTCGTGCTCCAGACGCTGGACAGGAAGCTATTCAAAACTCCGCGCTTGTCACAAGTCAGGCTGTGGAGCCTCACCCGGGGCCCCACTACGAACTAAGTTCGGGAAAGTTCCTAAAATGCCGGGATCTGGCTGCGGCGGGGTCGATGGCTCGCTGCCCACCCGTGGGAGAAAGCGGACCCTCGCGGTCGCCCAGCCCGCGGCGCGCGCCGCCCGCCCACAGCCCGCGCCCGCCCCGCGCTGCCCTCCGACCCACCCGGAGGCCTCTGCGCGGGGCTGTGCAGAGCCGACAAGTCCAACGCCGCCGCCTTCTCCCGAACCTTGGCCATGACCGCGGCGGGAGAAACACCGCCGTCCGCTCCGCCGCCGCTGCTCCGCAAACTGCGCGCCCGCGCTCGAGCCTCGGGTTAACTGGCCAGGCTGGGGGCGGGGCTCCAGGGGCTCCGCCCCCGAAGGGTCACGTGTCTTGCCGGTCCGTTCCAAGGCTGAGGTCCTGGCGCTCCAAAACGCCTCAGGCCACTCAAGGTGGGTCGTGCCCAGGTAAAAAGTTCTTCTGCCGGCGCGGCCTTTCGAGGGTTCCCCGGCAGTAGCCCTCGGGAGTCTACCCTCGCCCCAGCCAAAGCCCCACTGCTCCAGGTCTCAGTGCCCTCACCTGCGAGTTTTAGGACCAGGTTGGCTGGGCCTTTTAATGAGGAGTACCTGAACCGACGTTCAGCGTTTAGTATTTGAACCATAAATGCTTCCAAGTGTGTCACGATAATAAATGCTTCGAGTTTTTTTTTCTCCATAGATCCCGTCCCTCTAAGGAGCAAACAGCCTTATCTGGCCCAGGAGAGCAATGTCCAGAGGTCAGAGGACCGCTGCTACGAAAGATCACGGGGCTGCCTGCCAAGGAAATCTGTGATGATTCTAAATTAACCCCGGGTGGTGAGCATGGGGGCGTGCTGCGGGAAGGGCAGAGTGGGAGAGCAAGCTGGAGGAGGAGGAGAAGGGAGGGGGCTGTTGGAAGCACCTCGGTTTCTTGGGTAGTTGAGGCAGGGACACCAGAGGCCCAATGCTGGTGTAGTCCCAAAGGCTGAATGGTGTAGATAATTAACCCCGCTGACGGATGCATGCCCATTTATTTTTATTTTTTCTTTCCTTTCTTCTTTTGAAGAAAGACAGGGTCTTTATTCCCTAACTGACTGAATACGCTCTGTAGACCAAACTGGCCACGAACTTGAGAATTTCTGGCTGCTGGGAATAAAGGCTTGAGCCGCCGGCGTTGCTCGCCCTTTCCTTAGCTCCCTCCCTCTTTAGGGGGCTGGAGAGATGACTCAGTAAGAAGAGCTCTTGCTGCAGTAACAAAGGATTAGAGTTCGGTTCCCAGTACCCATATACCGGCTCACAACCACTTGTCAGTAATTCCAGCTCCAGGGTTTCTGATGCCCTCTTCTGACCTCTGTGAACTCAAATCTTCATGGTCATGGCTGTACAGTAAGTTCTAACTGAGGTACCCTGGAAAAACAAATCTTGACAAATATTAATATTGGATCTTTTGAAAAAGGCTGGCCAGCCTAATGATGATTTTTGGTATTTTATGTCATTCAGAGGCATTTTGTCCCCACGAGTTTATGTTGTCTTGTCACTTCTAATTAGAATACTGGCGCTTTTTTTTCTATATTGAATGTACTCAGGGAGACCTACCCCTCTTCCCACCTTCTTCACTGCACAGACTTTCCCCTCCGTTTGTAGTACTTATTAAACACATAATTATTCAGCCTCCACGTGTAGATTTTGTTCTGAGGTAGAGTTTTGCCCCGTCACCCACAGTGGCTCGGCACTCACCGTGTGTGGAGCTTGAGCTAGCTTCAGACCTATGACAGCTCTGCCGCAGCCTCCCAAGTGCTAGGATTATAGGTACAATCCACCCAGGGCTGGCTCATGAACGGTGTTTTTATTCCTTGTACAGAATACTTTAAAATCACTTTCATCATTAGCTCTTTCTCAGGCCAATCGGTATTGTCTAGCCCATGGGAAGAACTTCACTTGCTATAAACTGGTCTAAGAACAAACTTGCCTGAACCAGTCAGGAGGTAGAAAACAGAACAGAAACTTTATGATTCATAATCTATTCTGTTCTGGCACAAATATATAAAAGGAATCTTGAGGGGGAGGGGCCGGAAGGAGAGGGAACTGCATTTGGAATGTAATAAAAATAAATACCACCCCCCCTCAAAAAAAAAGGAAAGAAAAGAAGAGGGAGAACACTCTTCTATTATCTCCAGCAATGAAAACCGGTGATGATGATGATGGCGGGGGAGGGGGTTCTTCTGTAGTTTTTGCAAAGCTAGGGCTCCAGCCCTGGAACTCAAGTGCTGACAGTTATACACCACTGAGCCACACCTCTAGCCTCAGGCAGGTTTTATTATATTATCATTTCTTTTTCAACATAAAGGTTTTCTGGTTTGTTGTTGGTTTCGTTGCTGTTGTTTCTGAGACAGGGTTTCTGTTTAACAGCTCTGGCTGTCCTGGAACTCACTTTGTAGACTAGACTGACCTAGAACTCAGAGGTCCACATGCCCCTGCCTCCCAAGTGCTGGGATTAGCACCGCTATCTCCCAGCTACTTTATTTGCTTTGTTGACTGGGTCTCATAATGTAGCTCTGGATGGCTTAGAAATTTTATGTAGCCCAGGTGAGCCTCCAACTCACAGAGATCTGCCTGTCTCCTGAGTGCTGGGATTAAGGAGCAGGTGTAAATTGGCCTTGAATTCCTGGGTTTAAGCAATCCTCCTGCCTCAGTCTCCTGACTAGCTGGGACTACAGGGGCTTGCCACCTTGAACACTCTTCCACAGTCTCTTGAGCACTCTGTAGCCTCTGCATTAGCTCCTGTCTCATGGCTTCTGTGCCTTGATTTCTCTTGGGTGATTTTCTTTAGGATGAAATAAACTCTTTGCTCCTCAGGTTGATTTTGTTCACAGGGCCTCATCACAGCAACAGAAACCCTAAGACAAGAACCTTTTTTTTTCTTTTAAGACAGAATAATACTCCATTATATCACATGTTCTATTCATTCCTATGCTCCATCTCAGATCCACCTCCATCTCCCCACCCACCCAACTTTGTGTATGCTTGAATGCATGCTCTTGTGGGTGCACTTGCTCTCTGTCTCTTAAATCTATCAAGCTCAGTTTGTGTTGGGATAGGGTCTGCCCTAGAGTTTGGGTCATACAGCAGGGGTATAGCTTTAAGAAAGCTCTCTCCCAGGAGCTCTCAAACACCAATAGCATATCAGCTAGAAGTGGGACTGTGCCCACATTCCCTCCTCCACGTAGGGATTTTTGTTGGCTTGAGCTTGGGTAGGTTTTATATGTGGCATAGTCACTGTAACTTCATATACGCATCTGCCTGCTGTGTCTGAAAAACTCTTCTTTGGGGACTGGGGTTTTGTTGTTTCTTTCTTGTCCTCCATGTGTCACACATTCCTTATCCATTCATCTACCAGTGGGCATTCCAACTGTTTCCCCATCTTTTTGTTTGTTTGTTGAGACAGTGTTTCTTTGCGTAGCCCTGGCCTGCTCCCGAGTGCCAGGATTAAAGGCATGCACCACCACCACCACCACCGTCTGGCTATTTCCACTTCTTGATACTTGTGTATAATGGTCCCCTGAACATGGGTGTGTAAATATCTCTTGAAGATTCCATTTTTGGAGCTGGAGAAAGAAAGAGTTCTGTGACAGAACACTTGCTTGGTGTGTATGAGGCCGAGTTCCATCCCCTCAAATATACACATTCAGAGAGCCTTCTTCAGACCATTGGCTGTGTACCCAGAAGCAAGACATCCTAGCACATTGTAATCTTGTTTAGTTTTGTTTTTTAAGAACTTCTCTCTTTTTTTTTTTTTCAGTAATGGTCACGTCGTTTTACATCTCCACAAGCAATGTTCCAGAGTTCAAACTTTTCTACACGATTGATACTTTAAAATTTCCATGTCTTTAAAGATTTAGTGGTTCTGAGAATCTTTCATTTCCTCCCAGTGCTGGAGCTGGAACTTAGAGCCTTTTACAAGCTAAGCAAGCATTTTGCCACCGAGTTACATCTCCAGTCTTGTTTTGGTTTTGTTTTGAGGTAGGATCTTGCCACATAGCACAACTGGCTTCAAACATGGGATCTTCTTGCTGAAACTTCTTGCATGCTGGGATTGCAGACATGATGTTGAGAATTAGTTCATATGCTTACTGGCCATTTCTGTGTCTTTTGTGAGAAACATTTGTGGTAACTTTTGCTCATTTTTGAATTAGCTCACTTTTGAAAAATTTTAATTGAATTTTTGTGTGTGTATGGATGTTTTTGCCTTCATGTATGTCTGTGAACCAGAGGTCAGAAGGTGTTGGATCCTCTGGAACTGAAGTTACAGTTGGTTGTGAGCTACCATGTAGGTTCTGGACATTGAACCCTGGTTCTCTGGAAGAGCAACCAGTGCTCTTAACAATTAAGCCATTTTTCCAGTCTGGGTCTATAGTCAGACATTTTTTCAGGACCATCGGCTCCCATGACATAGAGAATTATTACTAATTATCAAGGCTCAGCCAATAGCTTAGGCTTGTTTCTAATTAGCTCTTATAACTTTTTGCCTTGCAGCTTTATCATCTCATCCCATAGTGCCCAGCCTGTTTGTTCTGCGTCTGGCTGATGACTTGGCCTTCTCAGCATTTCTCTCTACCCCAAAATCCTGCCTGTGTTTCTACTAAACCAATCAGAGTGTCGCATTTTCACAGTGTACAAGAAGACTATCTCACAACATATGTTCCTGTTTTGCTTTTTGTTGTTATTAAGTTATATTTCTTTTTAATATTAACCCTTTATTAGATTTGTGATTTGCAATTATTTTCACCACTTGTTTATTTATTTATTTGTAGACAGAGTTTCACATAGCCCAGGCTGGCTTGGAACTCACTGTATTCTCAGGGATGACTTTGAATTTCTGATCGTTAAGCTTCCTACTGAGTGCTAGGGATCAAAGCACAGGTAATTGATTGAGCTAATATCTGTAGCTCCTTATTTCACATCTGTATTTCATAGCTTATAACTCTCCCCATAGGGTTGGCTTTGCTGTTGTTTACTCTGATGTTCCTCTTGTCTGCTGTTTGCTTTTGTTTGTGTTTGACACCCTATCTCATGCAGCCCAGACTGGTCTCCAATGCTCTGTGTAACTGAGGATAACTTGCCTATGCTTTTATTTCTTTGTTTGAGGTAGGGTCCCACTACACAGCTCTGGCTGTCTATGGGGACCTACCTCTATGTAGATCTAAACTCTTTATGTAGATCAGTGTGGTGGTTTGAAAGAAAATGGCCCCCAAAGGGAGTGGCACTATTAGAAGGTGTGGCCTTATTGGAGGAAGTGTATCACTGCGGAGACAGACTTGGAAGTTTCATATATGCTCAAGATAATGCCTAGTGTCTCAGACCACTTCCTGTTGCCTGTGAGTCAAGATGTAAGAAATCTCAGCTGCTTCTTCAGCCTGCAAGGTGTGGGACACTCAACTACCTTTTCCAGTAGCATGTCTGCCTGTAAAAGGAGATTGTGCATTCGTTTCCTGGCTTCCCAGACCCAAGTAATCACACAGAAACTATATTAATTACAATACTGTTTGGCCAATGGCTCAGGCATATTTCTAGCTAGCTCTTAAAACTTAAATTAATTCCTTTCTATTTATTAATCTGTGTATCACCATGAGGCTGTGGCCTACCAGTAAAGTTCTGGTGTCACTCTCCCTTGGCAGCTACGTGGCGTGTCCTAGACTCCACCTCCTCTCTCTATATATCTCTGTTTGGATTTCCCGACTGGCTTTATTTTGCCCTGCCATAGGCCAAAGAAACTTCTTTACTAACCAATGGTAATAAGTACCATGTGCTAACCAATTGAACCACTGGAGCTCCAGCCAATGGTAATACAATATATTCATAACATACAGAGGGGAATCTCACATCATCTGCCTACCATGATAGTGAACTAAACCTCTGAACTGTAAGCAAACCACTACAATTAACTGCTTTCCTTTATAAGAATTACCGTGGTTGGGCTGGAGAGATGGCTCAGTGGTTAAGAGCACTGCCTGCTCTTCCAGAGGTCCTGAGTTCAATTCCCAGCAACCACATGGTGGCTCACAACCATCTGTACTGAGATCTGGCGCCCTCTTCTGGCGTGCGGGCATACATGGAGGCAGAATGTTGTATACATAATAAATAAATAATAATAAATCTTTAAAAAAAAAAAAAAAAAGAATTACCGTGGTCGTGGTGTCTTTTCACAGCAATAGAAACCCTAACTAAGACAATCAGGCTGGCCCTAAACTCACAGAGATTTGTCTATCTCCATCTACCAAGTGCTGGGATTAAAGATGGATGTATGTCACGTTGCCTGGCTTCCCATGAGTTTTTTTTTTTTTGGTTTTTCGAGACAGGGTTTCTCTGTGGTTTTTGGAGCCTGTCCTGGAATTAGCTCTTGTAGACCAGGCTGGTCTCGAACTCACAGAGATCCGCCTGCTGCCTCCTAAGTGCTGGGATTAAAGGCATGCGCCACCACTGCCTGGCTCCAGGAGTTTTTTGGTTGGTTGTTTGTTTTGGTATTTTGAGAGCTATCTCTTGTAGACCAGGCTGGCTTTGAACTCACAGAGATCCACCTGCCTCTGCTGGGATTAAAGGGTGCACCACCACCACCTGGCTGGTTTTTTTGTTTTTGTTTTCTTTTTTAAGACTGGATTTTTCTGTGTAGCTCTGAAAACCAGGCTGGTCTTGAACGCACAGAGATTCACCTGTAGTGGAGCTTTGGCATTCCTGTCTCAAATCATTAATCAAGGGTTTATTTCTGGGCTATTTGGATCCATTGGTCTGTTCCTAATACTTTGATTACTATAGCATTGTCTTATGTTTCGAAGAGATGACAGTATTTTTCTTTTCTTTCTTTCTGTTTTTGTTTTGGGACAGGATCTCACTCTGCAGACAGAGATCCACCAAGACGGCAGTTTTGGAAAACTCCTTATTTCTGTTATTCAACAGATGATTTAAGAGAAAGCATTCAGAAGTAGGTATTGCAGTGACATATAGGCTAGATCCCCAGGATGAAGAAAAACGAACCAATTTTGAATATATATTTATGCTGGGTGTGGTGGTGCATCTTTAATCCCAGCAGTTAAGAGGCAGGAGCAGGTGGATCTCTGAGTTTGAGGCCAGCCTGGTTTGCCTGGTGAGTGTTAGGCCCACGGGAGCTAAATACTTAGACCTTATCTCAAAAGAAAAGAAAATAAAGGAAGGAAGGAAGGAAGGAAGGAAGGGAAAAAATCTATAAATATATATACTTTATTTTTTTAAAGAAAAAAAAAGCAATACTTGTTTCTAAGAATGTGGAGAAAATTGTGCCCCTAAAACATTGCTGGTGGAAATATGAAGTACTGAAGTCATACTCTTTTAATTTTTCTCTTTGTTTTCATATGCATGCCTTTTCAAATGTGTGTGGACACACACATACTTGGGACCTGGGATTGATGCTGGGACTCTTCCTTTGTTATCTCCCACCTTTTTTACTGAAGTAGTATGATGGTTACATCTAGAGCCTTGGCCAGGTCAAATCTGCTCAGTCACCTTGTTCAGGGGATCACACATCTATACTTTTTGGGGGTGGAATTACAGGCAAGCCACCATACCCTCCTGGCGTCTCCACAAGTTCCTGGGGTACAAACTCTGGTCTGGTCCTTTTGCATGTGCAGCAAGCACTTTGACCATTGAGCTGTTTCCCTAGTTCCCTTGTCTTGTTTTGTCTTCTTTTGTTTTGTGAGACAGGGTCATGCTATGTAGCTCTGACTGCCTCCATTAAAAATGTTCCTGTCTCAGCCTCCTAAGTACTGGCTGGGGTTACAGATGTGCACCACTGTGCTAGGCTCAGCGAAGCACTTTGTAAAACAGTTTGGGAGTTCCTCAGAACAGTTACATTTACCAATATGGCTCAGACATTGCAGACCAAGGTGTATGCTCAAGATAATGAATGGAAAGAAGGTGGCACCGTTTGTAATAGCTAAAAGCAGAAGCAATTCAAATGTTCATGAACTGATGAATAAATAAATGTGGCATAGCTACACAGTAGTATTTAGCCCAAGAATTGGATGGAGAATACAAGATACCACATGAATGAATCTTGAAAATGTTATGTCAAGTGAAAGAACTCAAACATAAACAGATATACTTCTATGTAATGCCATCAGTATAATCTTCTAGAACGTACAGACTCTAGAGAAGGCAGAGAACTGGTTCCTAGGGATTGACGGGAGAGAAATAGATTAATGAATAATAATAAGGGATTTCTTTCTAGATTGACGAGGCTTTCTGGATTTAGTGGTGATGGTTGCAAAACCTTATGAATATACTAAAAATAACTTATTGTATGTTTAATGGTACATTTTATTTTTTTGCCTTATGCCTTAAAAACACTGTAACCAATGTATATAAAAACTAAGATGTGCCAGGCAGTAGTGGCGCACACCTTTAATCCTAGCTCTCTGGAGGCAGAGGCCCACAGATCTCTTTGAGTGACTTCCAGCACAGCCAGGCTACACAACAGAAGACCCAAGTTCAGTTTCCAGCACAATGTCAGACAGTTCAAAACTCCTAACTCCAGGGTCAGGCTTCCTAGGTCTCCGACATCTATGTGCACAAACCCACACAGAGACACTCCCACATACACTTAACTAAAAATAAATGCTAAGAAATATACCTGACCATTAAAATCTTTGAAGATTGTCGTAATGGTGAGCAACAAATGATACATTTACTGAAACAAGTAAGTCAAACTTTCCCCTGGCTCTCAGGAGGCAGAGGCTCCACACCAGAGCTCCTTCTGTATTCCGGTTTCCAACTGAAGAGCTTCATTGCTTGAAGGAGCAGTGTTTCCCAGCTGCTTGTTGTAGCTAAGCTCCAGGTCAGGATGGCTGAGGTGGGTATTTCCTTCTACTGAACCCCTGCTCATTCTACTTTACTCCATGCTGAGAGAGGCCTGGGGCCCTGGCCATTCCTGCTCCCTTCAGCAAAGCAAGCCTAGAGGACCTGCGGCCAGCTCCTCCTCCACCCATCACTTAGTTCCTAGCTAGGTAGGCGTGTCTTTCCTTGATCCTCTTAAAGGGAGAAAGAAGCAGATCAGAAGAGCATTTCTAACCTTCTTGGAAGGAACTTGTCGCAGAATATTCCTTTACACTGTGTGAGGATGTGTCACTGTGACCGTTTTAATAAAGAGCTAAATGGCCAATAGCTAGGCAGCAAGAGGTTAGGCGGGACTTCTTGGAAGAGAGAGGGCTCTAGGATGAAGACAAGTGGAGTTGCTAGTCAGTGATGGAAGACAGATAACGCCACAAGGCAGAACATAGATTTAGTATAAAGGGGTTAGTTGAAGTCATAACAATAGGTAGAAACAAGATCTGTTATTTGTGAGCTGGTGGCTAATGAAAAAGTATAACTACAGGAACTGACCTCACATGCAACAAGAGAGGCAAGAACCGGCAAGAGGAACTGGGAGGAGATTCAGGATACAGCCTGTGAGCAGGGCAGTTTCTAGAACACTGGGAAGAGGCCTCTTGTGATCAAAACTAATACCAGTGACTTCAAAAACTTCCCTTAAATGAACCTTGATTTGTTTAGCTTGTAGAAAAATTGGCGTCACTGGGTCTCACTGATGAACATTAATTAGGCGAGTCTGTTACCCAGGTAAGTGAACACAGAGAATTAAAGTCACAGAAAAATGTATCATGCAGACAGCGACTGTTCTTGCTCTTTGATCCCTTTTTTCTCTCCCTGATTTCACCTCCTTCCTATTTATTCTCTGTGTCCGCTAGGCCTGCCTATTGGCCATTCAGCTCTTTATTAGACCAACCAGGTGTTTTAGACAAAGTGCCAATGCTTCACAGAGTTAAACAAATGCAAAATAAAAGAATGCAACGTATCTTTGCGCCATTGAACAAATGTTCCACAGCATCAGCACATTTAAAAAATATCCCACGACAGTATGCTACTTTAAAAATGTATTAAAAGAGGTGGGAGGGGGCTGGAGAAGTGGCTCGGTGATTAAGATCATATGCTGCCTGGTTTCAGTTCCCAGCACCTACGTACATGGCAGCTGATAACTCCAGCTATAAACCGGATAAACTACATACATGGCAGTTTATAACTCCAGTTCCAGGGGACCCAGAGCTCTTCTGGCCTCCTTGGGCATCTTGCACAAAATACGCATACATACATGCAAACAAAACCCTCATACACATCTGAAAAAAAAAGAGGTGGTGGTCAAAAGCAATGAAGTGTGAGAGGGCAGAGGGAAGTTAACTGAGTTTTGTTGTTTCCATGTCCTAAATACGTCCAGAAGCCAAACTAAATAATCTCCATACCATCACAGCTATGTGTAAAATACATAACAAGGTAAATTCTTTTTTTTTTAAAATCATCATTGTAATTATTTTTTTAATTCTTTTTTTTTCCTTTAACATTTATTCACTTATTATGTATACAATATTATGTCTGTGTGTATGCCTGCAGGCCAGAAGAGGGCACCAGATTCCATTACAGATGGTTGTGAGCCACCATGTGGTTGCTGGGAATTGAACTCAGGACCTTTGGAAGAGCAGGCAATGCTCTTAACCTCTGAGCCATCTCTCCAGCCCCGACAAGGTAAATTCTTGACTCCTGAGTAACCTCAGGAAATAGATAAGGTTTAACAGACCAATAGATAAGTGTATCATCTTTCATTTGAAACCACTGAGCACAGATGAAGATCCATACACAACTAAAAATTATCACTAACCTTGCTCAGCTTTACCTTATGGAATATACTTCTCATTTTGATTAACATGCTGCTTTTTGAAAATGATTTACTTAAAGCTGAACAACAGAAGAGAGGAATCCATAATGCCAAGCCTGTGACTTCCCCCGTACTGCGACTTGAAGGCACATTTTAGGCTTTTATCAACTCCATAGAGGAAAAGATTATATACTCTTTTCCACACCAACTTTTTCTTTCATTAGCAACAAAGATTAGACTTTTTTTTTTCTTTTAAAGTATTTCTAGCCAGGGGGTGGTGGCACACACCTTTAATCCCAGCACTCGGGAGGCAGAGGCAGCCAGATCTCTGTGAGTTCGAGGCCAGTCTTGTCTTTACAAGAGCTAGTTCCAGGACAGGCGCAAAAAAATAGAGAAACCCTGTCTTGAAATTATATACATATACATATATATATAATCTATTTGGAATACAAAGAATGTAGAAGTATTATTTTTAATTAAATCTTGTGTATGATGGTGAAAATCCAAGCATGCCAACGAGCACATGTGAAGAACAGAGGACAGTTCTGTAGAGCCCAGCTCTCCTTAAAGTTTTACATGGGTTCAGGGCTCAAACTCAGGTCATGGGATTGCAAGGAGTATGTTTTACCTGCTCAGCTACTTCCCAGGCCCAGAAAAACTATCTCAAGGACAGGGTCAAATAACTGACACCAGATAACTTCTCTGAGATGCTGAGGTGGCTTGAAAAAAATGGCCCCCAAAGGGAGTGGCACTAATGTAAGGTGTGGCCTTGTCACTGTGGAGGCAGGCTTTGAAGTCTTATAGATGCTTAAGCTAGTGCTCAATGTCTCAGACCAATTCCTGCAGCATGCAAGATGTAGAACTCTCAGCAACTTCTTCAGCACAATGTCTGCCTGCATGCTACCATGCTTCCCATCATAAAAATGGACGGAACCTCCGAACTCTAAGTAAGCCATTCCAATTAAATGTTTTCCTTCTTAAGAGTTGCCATGGTAATGGTGTCTCTTCACAGCAACAGAAACCCCTAATTCAGATGTGAAATACATTTTACCAAGAAGGTAGAACAAGACAATAATGAAGCAACATAGTGTGAGAGCTACCCTTTAGCTTAGCAATACAGACCATTTGAGTAACTTTCTTTCTCTTCTTTCAGGATTCTGTGTAGCTGTCTGTCCTGGAACATGCTTTGTAAACTAGGCTGGCCTGAAATTCAGAGATCCATCTGCCTTTGACTTTCCCAAGTGCTGGTATTAAATTCATGTGCATAACTTTTCTTTTTTAGTGTATTGCCTGCATGTATGTGTGTACAGCATATGTGTGCCTGGTGCTGGTGGCCAGAAGAGGATGTTAGATCATCTGGAGCTGGAGTTATGGGTGCTTGTGAGTCGCCTGAAGGAGACAGGGAAGATCAAGTGCTCTTAAGCAAATAGTTCTCTTGCCAGCCCACGAACGATCATTTCTAAAGTAGTGTGTGGACGACACTAGAATGGATAGCAATTTCAGAGCTAGTGGAGCAGAGCAGAGCATTTACAGGGTCTCGGGGTTAGGGTCAGAGCTTTGGCAGGTAACTGAGTACTTTTTAAATATCATTTGTATGTTCATCTGTGTGTCTACATACACCTTGCATGCCTGGTGCCTGTGTTGGTCATAAGAGGATGTCAGACCCCCTAGGACTGGAGTTATGAATATCTATGAGCTGCCAGGTGGTGCTGGGAATCAAACCTAGGTGCCCTGCAAGAACAGGTCCTCTTAATGGCCAAGCCATTTCTATAGCACCTGTTTAAGGTTTCTTTTGCTGTGAAGAGACACTATGACTACAGCAACTCTTACAAAGGCAAACATTTAATTGGGGCTGACTTACTGCATAGAGGTTTAGTCCATTATCACCATGGAAGGAAGCATTTTTGTATGCAGACAGACATGGTGCTTGGAGAAGTATCTGAGAGTTCTACGCTTGGATCCCAAGCAGTAGAAGGAGACACAGAGCCACTGGGCCTGGTTCGAGCTTAGAAACCTCCAACAAGACCACGTGTCTTACAGTGCTACTCCCTATGGCGCTTATTTTAATTCAGACCACCACATTCCAATAAGGCCTGTTCTGTGTAAAATAAAGGGATTAAAAGCAAGTGGTTTTAGTAGCCTAAAACTAGTTACAAAGGACTAAATGCTGACTAAATGCTGACTTGAATTTGGCTTGAAATGCTTAGGCTGCCAGGGGGTGGTTAGGTCCACTTTGAGGCGTGGTCTTACAATGGATAGCCTTGGCTGGTCTCAAACTTAAGACATGACCTTGCCCCTGCCTTCCAATTGCTGGTACTCCACAACCAACACGAGTAATACTCTATGTATTCTCTTAGAAATAGGAACATGATGATAGTGGTAGTTATACAATACTTGCTGCTTTAATTTTTTTAAAAATATTTATTTTTTTTATATATATATTTGTTATATATACAATATTCTGCCTGTGTGTATGTCTGCAGGCCAGAAGAGGGCACCAGATCTCATTACAGATGGTTGTGAGCCACCATGTGGTTGCTGGGAATTGAACTCAGGACCTTTGGGAGAGCAGGCAATGTTCTTAACCACTGAGCCATCTTTCCAGCCCCCTGCTTTAATTCGTAAAACCAAAAAGGCCAATGGTGGTGACACACGGCTTAAATCCCAGCACTCAGGATCTCTGTAAGTTTGAGGCCAGCCTGGTCTATTGAGTGAGTTCTAGGATAGGCTCCAAAGCTACAACAGAGAAACTCAGTCTCAAAAAACAAAAGCAAGCAAGCAAGCAAACAAACAAAAACCCACGTTCTGATTTTGTTTAAAAAATTTTCATTTTAATGATCTGAGTTAGTAACAAATATACAAAATTGTCTTTCACATTTCCATACATGGTATAATGGACCAGTTGAAAATTCTGGACTACAAATGCAGGTTTCTTTGTATCCTTAGGCTTAGTTGTTTGTTTTATAAATAGAGGTTATTTTGAAAATGTGCATTTCTGAACACAGATGTCAAAAGTTGTGCATCTGAGTCAATGGACAAACAAGATTTGCACACTGTTCATTTGTGCAGTTGTGTCAAGTACACCCTACAGAGGAGCAGCTAGCCTGGGCTATCAAGTATACCCGACAGAGGAGCAGCTAGCCTGGGCTATCGAGTACACCTGACACAGGAGCAGCTAGCCTGGGCTACTTCACTGTATTTGAAAAGCATTTTATTTTTTTGTGAAACAAAACATTTAAAACAAAAATTACATTCTGCAAATACATTAAGATTTGTAACCTACACATCTGAAACAAAGCTGCACCAATAACCCGAACTGACCTCATCAGGGAATCAAGTGCAGAGAGATCGGACTACAAGGAAAGTGAAGAGACTCTGGAACCACTCATCTGAACCAGCAAAGGACACCAACACACAAACCAAAACAACTTATGGGTAAATCCTTACAGCTATAGGCTGGAATTTATCTGCTTTAAGAAAAATAAATAGTAAACAGAAAAATTAGTTTTAAAATGTGAAGCTCTGAAAATAGCCCTAAAGTGTAAACACATCTATAAATTTTCATGTTTTAAAAATTTAGATAAATTTAGAACATTCAATATTATATGAAAATGTATTAAACATTTAAAAATAGGATTATCTCCTATCTTACCAATACTTTCCATTTGGCAAAATCATAGGGTAATGGATAGCTTCTAGCTCAACTTAATGTGATAAATCACCATAAATTCAGACATATTAGGGATCAAGTAGTAACTAAGTTATATCAAAATGGCAAGGAGGCCCCTTTGGCAACCACTTTTCTGGGCTAGTAACAAATATCAACACAGAATACCTTTTACATGAAATCACTCTAGATCTCTACATGCATCTGAGGGATGGGGGACTGGGAGGAAACCCAGAGCCTCGGACATGCTAGTCATGTGTTCTGCACTGAGCTACATCCCGACACTCCAGATCGCTATAGGTAGGAGAGTTCAAGCCTTCTTAACATCTTCCTATCTTATGGCAACATGTGCTTCATCTTTTTCTACAGCCTGCTTTCCTATAGCATACATTTCAAATTCCCTGGCAAAACTAGCCAACTAAGTATTTATTTAGCTTCCTATACAGAAATGGGTATAATATGGTTCTACTTTTTGCTAAGGCCTGAGGTTGATATTTCCTATGCTATATAGAATACATGAGGTGAGAGAGAATACATCTAAACCACAGGGTCTCTGAGGGAGGGTCAGAGGAACTGGCCTTCTACATTGTGAATTGATTTTTCTAAGGGGAATACAATTGTAAACTGATGGAGGGCAACTGCTGTTCAAAAGGAAATGGAAAGCCAGGCACGTGCCTATAATCCCAGCATTCTGGAGACTAAGGCAGGGCAATTGCAATAAACTTGGGAGCCAACTTGAACTACATAGTGAGTTCTAGAACAGCCTGGGCTAAAGTGTGAGACTGCTTTAAACAACAACAAAAAAGAAATGTGTATTTTTGTGGTAAGATTAACCTTAGATTCATTTGTGAAAATGAAGTTCAAACATACTTCATACTTTATAATTCAAGATGAAGGTAAAGGTATATAGGCATGCCAACGCTATGTTGGAAACATACCTACTGTGCCCAGTGTCAATATCAGAATGGAATATGGCTGCTTCCTGCTCTCCTCTGCTTGTAAAACAAATCTCATGATTTTCCTGCCACGGACATCTCCCATATGAGCTACATAAAATAAGTCTGATAGGTTGCTTTTGTTGTCAGATAAACATTTTAAAACTTTCAGAAGTGGTACATTTGACCCCGGAGAGTAACTTCCATTACTTGGTATTACTGAGTCCAATATCAGGTACAAATGTTAAGGATATTGCTTTTAATAGGATAATCACCAGAAGTAAATACGTTAGCGTAACTCAGATGCTCATTTTCACCCAATGTAACAGTGCTTTATTCTTAAATGAAGCGGCATGTTAGCTTCAATTCTTGTCAGTTTACTGCCTGCTCAATACCAAGACAGCAGGCTTATCCACGTAAGTGTGTCTTATCTGGGCCCTGAGCAGTAACACTGCTTTTTAGATAGGGAGTAAGGCACTAAATGGTGGTGAAATAAACAGGTATGATGAGTTACGTTTTTAGAATCCTAAAAACAGCGATCGTTTAGAATGACACTATTAAATTTTCTTCACAAACAAGGCATCTTGTTGGCAACAAAAAGAAACAAAAGGTCATGATGAACCTAATACATTCACTGTCTCAGCTAAACCACTTGAAATGCCATCAAACTTAAGAAAGCTGCACTAGGGTATGGAAGGATTAAAGGCACCAAAGGAGAATTCCACTTCCAGTTCTGAGAGCTAGGAAAGCTGTGTGTAACACTGCATACTGTCTTATTAATCAATTTGTGTATGTATGTGCATGCATGGGGACAGGACTTGCAGAAGTTGGTTCTCTTCTTCCACATTATGGGTCTTGGGAATCAAACTGTTCGTTAGGCTTGGCAGCAAGTGCCTTTACCCAACTGGGCACCGAAATTATCAGTAGTTAAGTTTTTGTTTGTGTTTTTTCAGAACAAGGTCTAGTTTGTAGCTCTGGCCTTCTAGGAGCATACAATGTAGAACAGGCTGGCCTCGAGCTCAGAGAGCCACCTGCCTTGCTTCTGTCTCCCAAGTGCTGGTATGAAAGACGTGCGCTACTACACCCGGCAGTAGTTGATTTTTACTTTGACAAATCAGTATAAATCAAGTGCTAGTTTGGTAAGAAATTTATTTTACGAAATATGAAATTAGTGCAGTGTTTCACACAGTCCCATTTATAAAGCTAAACTAATTCTAGCACCGAATGAATATTCCAAGTAACACTAAGGCAAAATAAAAATGGCTACCTCAAGACAGAATCTACAATGGAAATGACATGTACCAACACAGGGTATACTGAAAACAATGAAGTATGGATAGAAAAATTAAAACCACATTTTCTCTGTGAAAAATACAACTACTAGTAAAATAAAATGTACAATTGAAAATTTTCCAAAGGAAAAAACACTATAAACAAAAATACTTTTCTTTAAAACAGGGAAAATAGTACGTCACTTTTTTTTCCATCATCACAATTGAGCTTGACACAAAAAGCAGTCACAGGATTGCACAGTTCCACACCCAGTTTCCTGGACATGGTAAAGGACTCGACAGAGCAGAGCGCAGCTTCTCAGTTTCATGTTTTAAACTCAAGACATTCCCATATAGGAAGGATGTCACACCAT